TCTCTCGCTTGCTCTCCCCCCCCTCTCTCTCTCTCTCACGCACACACACACACAGACACACACTCACACACACACGCACGTATAAGCAAACGCTGCATGTTTTCTTCAGATCATGGATCAGTACCCACTGACCGACACTGGAAAGACAAGTAGGAAGGAGCTGAGACGTTTGGCTGCCCACAAGTTTGGCGTACAGTGACGTGGGTGGACTCCTCTCGGAAACAATCTTATTTGTTGTAGGCCGACATTTCAAAAATTCAAAATTTCCTCTCTGTACCTCTCCCTGAAAGAATCTTAGTTGTAGGCTGACATTTCAAAAATTCAAAATTTCCTCGCTGTACCTCTCCCTGAAAGAATCGTATTTAGTAGGCCTACATTTCAAAATTCAAAATGTTCCTTCCGTACAAAACAAAATCATTTCCCACTTGTAAAATGATAAGACGCACCACATTTACTTTACACCATCCTTTCGATTCCATATTATATATATATTGACGGTGTCTCTAGTTTGTAGCAGTATTAATTTAATATTAGCGAATTAGCGCAAATAGTTTTTTATGCTCTCACAGGAAAAAAGAGGGCAAATCAGGCAAGAGTAGACCACGAACAACTTACTTAGACTTGGAGAATTTGAACAGATTAGATCTAGATCTATAGGTGATGGGGAAAGCACGTGTTTCAAATCTGGTAATCATGCTTGATGATGTAAGGTAATTAGTTAAAAGAGAGTGCTAATTCTTTCCAGGAAATGAGAGGGATACATTATGTATACAGTGAAACCTGCCTTGACGGCTACCTCTATAAGACGGCCACCTGTACAAACGGCCACTTTCCATTTCCCCCCTTGCGTTTTTTAAAAATAACTTAATTGTCTAAAACGGGCACCTGTCCAACGCGGCCGCGGCCACCATATTTTAACACACAACCCCTATCACACTAAGCAATATATCACCTCTCTCCTAGACGGCCGCCTAAGGGACTCCATTTCATTTTGTCACAAATTGTGCGTTGGCCCCTGGCGTTGTGGGCGAGCCGTCATAATCCAATCACCCGAGGGTGTTAGGTAGTCCCTCCAACCGATCATGTTGCCTTGGCCCCTCCTACTGTTGACCAATAGGTACCCGTTAACAAATTTTCAGCTGCTGGCGAGGTAAGCATGTGATCCCTCATAACCAATAGCCATAAGCCCCGCCCACAACTCATACACAAGTCGTAAGTGAGATGAGTGGTCACTGTTTACCTCGTCTACTGTAACAAAGAAACAATGGACGTCAACATGAACTTGTGACAGAAACGTCGCTCGTTCTCCGAGTGGTTGCGACCCGTGTGTTTGCTTTACCAAAGCACTCGGTCCTCCTTGTCTGACACATTTCGTTTTATTGTCACCCTTGAACAAAAGCAGCAACAAAAGAAAAAAAGAAGAAACCCCCCCCCAGCAAAAAACAACAACAATAACAACAACAATGTGGTTATCTTCGGTTACGACCTCAGAAAGGAATGGTTTGTTTTCTTCATCTTGATCAGTCGATCCTGCCTAAGACGGCCACCTGTCGGCCATCTGCTGGTGGAATTTCTAAAATCTTTATCCCTTGACCATGTATAGCAACAACAATAAAATATATCTATTTAAGTCAGACATCAAGAATAAATTCTAGTAAATATTTATTATTATAAGCACATGGTAACCATGGTAACCAAACAAACATGTGCCATATTGGATAATTTAATTAAATTTCAAAAGCTATCTTTTCTCTTAGTTTTCGTCCGTGGACTTTCATTTTTATCAAGTACAAACTTCAACATCTATGTAATGAACAAATAACACCAGATTAGTAATATTACGATTCTGAAAATAATTATGGACTCTGGAAATATGTACATGGATAAATAGTTTTAAAATCTAAAAATTCCCAACAAAAGCACTGATTGTAATTTCATTCTTTTATTATCTTCAAAAAGGGCTTTATTTCAGTATAGGTCACCTAGGGATGGACATTGTGTAAAATAATGAAGCTATTCAGATGAAAAATAAAGGAGAAGATGTAATTTAAAGTCGGAAAAATAAATATTTGAATAAAAAATAAGAAAATATTAAAAAACAAGACCCAAAGTTGCAGAAGAGTTTTTTTAAATCCATTGTTAATGACTTCTAAACATAATTGATTGAAGCGGGCGCTCAAAACTCTAAAGGAAGTGGATGTAGGTTTTAAAAATGGTAGGGAAAAAAAAGTATGGTCAAACTGGGTAAAAATGGGGAAAATCTCATTCGCAGACGGCCTTACATGGCCACTTTTCTCCTTGACAATGGGTGGCCGTCCTACACAGGTTCGGCAATATTTTTGTCTGTGTATATTTTAATCCATATTTATGACACACAGCCGAACACTCACATAGCGAAATCGGTGAGACGCGGAAATCTTTTCTTTGTGTAAGATTACTAAGAATTTTGCTGTGTACATTTTTGCAAATTTGAATACGTAGAATATTTATACATTTGGAGGTTGTAAGAGAAACAAAAAATAATTGTGGACCTGAAAATCTATTCGATATGTGCATGTTTTTCTATATTAGCATGTTTCTCTATCATGTGTGAGTTCACTAAGTGCTTGCTGCCAAAATGCAGTTTCTTCCTAAATAATCTGATAACTTGACTGCCCTACTCTATTTTTAATCTTTTAAAATTATAATAGTAGAGGGTTTTACGGCGCTCGCAACTGCATAAGGTGATATGAGCGCCAAGGGGTGGGTGTCAACAGAAGAGTCTTTACAGGGAATCAGACTTACTCTGCTCACCTCTCTAGCTTCAACAACACAAGGTCTGCTTCAACTATCAAGGCACCCCGAAAATAGCTACTTTCTCTTTCGTCTGCTTTCATCTCCACTTTCTGCCCCTACCTCCTCAGGGCTCCGGACTCTTTCTGCAGCCTTTCTACTGCTACTCCTTGGCTCCTTCTTACCTCTGTCTTTCAGCCACACCCCTGATCTTCTGGTAGGAAAGATCTACCCCTAGCCTTCTCGGACAAGGGCGAAAAATCTCGGAGGTCGCTTATGCAAGTTGCGCAAATTGGTGGTCTAAAATCGATAAGAGTAGGCTTCGGTCGCCACCCAGGCAAAATTCAAAATTTCCTACCAGCTTAAAATGTTTAATGTGTCCCTCGCACTCATATGACTTATGCAGTTGCGAGTGCCGTAAAACACTTATAGGACCTACGAAAAATGTTTTTAAAAATATCAGTCTTCAGCAATGGCACTGAACTTGATGACGAAGTGCCTTCTGATTTAGCCGTAAATGCATCTCACAGTAAAAACAGAATGAAAAAAGATTGCAGAAAATTCAGTTTGCCACGTATGTGCCTAGATCTAGTCTAGCATACTTGTCAATTTGCTCTGCATGCTGCTTACATTGCTGGTTTTGTGTTGTTAAGGTTGACAAAGCATTTGAAAATGTGAAACCTGCATCGGTGCCTTTGTTGACTCCAATGTGTCAAAAGTAAATTCCTTGCTGTTTTTTAAGTCTCGTCGGAGGTTCGACAGTGCCTTCAAAGAATGTCATTGAAGTGTGTTTAGTGTGTGAATAACATTTTTGATGCCATGTGTCGTCTGTCTGTGCAGGGGGTGTGACATTGTCAAGAGAGAAATGTAATAAATTAGGGCAATCTGTTTTGAAAATCTTCTTATTATAAGCCTATCATTTCAAATTCTCTATTAATTTTTCAATACCTTTAACAGTATTTTGTAAAAGTTAAATAAAGTGTCTGGGTGTTTTAAAGGTGCCCTTCCCTCCTCGTTTTATTTGGGGGGGGGGGCTGTTTTATTCTTGTTTTTTTGTTGTTGTTGGGTTTTTTTGTGTGTGTGGGGGGAGGGGGGATAATTTCCACCATCATACTTCACTCTTATCTGCCTTGCCCTCTCCTTCCTCATTCTTCGCCCATCCCATCCCACCCTCACTACCATCTTTTGTGTAATCATTTTCAATTTTGTTAGAAATATATTCTGTTGTAAGTTTAAGTCAAGAAGACTAGGTTTTTGTAAAAATAATGTCAGTGATGACATCATTTTGCACTGATGAAGTTCTATGACCGAAAAGTCTGCAAATTTTGTTATCCCGTTTATATTTTTGTTTTGATCCTTATTATCCCAATTTCTTCTCTAAAACAAGTTAAAAAAAATTTCTTACCGTCACAATGTGTATACATAGTACATGTATTACCAAATGTTCGACTGAGCGAGCTGGTAATTTGATGCAAGTAAGATTTCTTACTGTCTTTATTATATTATTACTATCAAGAAGTCTTCGTTTTTGTAAAAATAATGAAGTTCGACTTCCAAAAACTCAGAAAATGTTATCATCCCGTTTATAATTTTGATCCTTATTATCCCAATTTCGTCTCTAAAACATGTAAAACAGAATATCTTACCATCACAATGTGTATACATAGTACACGTATTACTGTAAATATTCGACTAAATGAGCTGGTAATTTGATGCAAGTAAGATTTGTTAACATCCTTATTACATTACAACTGTACGTGAGTGCTTATAATGCTGTAATTAACATTGACAAAGAAATTTTGAGAGACAATGGAGTCCGAGCAACTTGTTTTGAAAGGAGATTACGCTGCGTACGCTGCATGGTTTTGAATTTACAAAGATGGCGGCAGGCCCGATAAGCTCCGCCCTTTCAGCTTCAACTTGGTTGGAACTGTTGAGCGGGCGACGCAACGTTAGGGCCTCTCCCTATATAGTTACTCCAAGGTCACAAGAGTGACAAACATACAAAAGAAGTAGAGGAAAATAACAATAGTAAGGAGTAGGAAAGAAAAAGCAGCAGTTCTCTGTTGTAGATCAGGCACAGTTATGAGTGTGACATGAGTCAGCCCATTTACAATTCTACTGTGCATGAACGGGAAATGTCCCCCCTTTGGAAATGGCCTAAAGACACTCAGTCAGTGGCACTGCCCTACTCTGATCTCACGCCCCCTCCACTGACGGAACTCACCCGTCAAACACAACTGACCGAAGTTGTAAGGTGGCACCGAGTTCCCCACGTCGTAAGGATACAATAGTAACACACGATGTACTTGTTTTATTGTTTCAGTACAGGTTTTACGGCGCTCCCAACTACATAAGGTCATATGAGCGCCAGACGACTAGAGGTGTTACAAGAGAGTAACAAACTTAATAAAGAAGAAGGGGAGATAAGGACGATAGATGTTTCATAGGAAGGAAGAAGCAAACCACACGGTGTACAGATAGGGTTAACTGAATTATAGCATTAAAAGAAACAAGTACATTATTTCCAACAACACAGTTTCAGGATCTTTTTGTACTTTATTCACGACTTCAAAACATGACATCACTGAATTCTTTTTTGTTGGCTTTTTTTTTCTTTTTACAAAAATGAACAGAAGTGAATCAAAAAATTCTATACAACGAAACAAACTCAGAAACCTTACATTACAACTTGCCACCTGTCCTCACAAAGCACCAGCTGGAAGTAACCAGAAGTTGCCCCCTTTTCTTTGTGACTGACTACTCAACCTCTGAACTGTCAGTCCCGTACACCATATCTCATCCACATAACTTATGAAATAGCAATGTACATAACAGAATATATTAAACAGTATAACACAGATAGGTCGAACACAGACGACTCAAAATCACTCATCCGACAAACTGTACCTGCTGTCTCATTTTTTCTTCCTCTTTATCTTTGTAAGATATCCCTTGAACTACGAACCCCTCGACCTCGAACTACCGAGGCCTGTCTTGATGTAAATCGAACTATCCGTGTTATACTGTATGTATTTTCTTAGCTCATTTCAAGATACGGACCATGGCATACCACACTATACAAGATACATAGATTTTACCCACGTAATGGAACAGCTAGGTCTTTTAAAACTGCACATTTCATCCCCCTATAAAAGTAGGATGGGCCACCTTTTGAAGGTTTTTTTGTGTGTTCCAGATACACATTATACTATCACAAGAGCACCTGTAGGACAACAGACATCATCACATCTTTCAACCTCCCTAATTTCAATGGCAATTTGATAACAAGTTTTAAATGTTCGTGCACACCTCTCTGAGGACATATGTCCATAAAAATGTTCTCCACTTTTCCAAGTTGTATTTCTAGCCATCAAACTTACAGCATGTACAAAATAGAAAATAGAGAAAATGTTCGATTTTGAAAGAATGGAAAACTAAAATTAACTTGAAAACAAAAGGAGGGAAAATCATTTTGTTAAAGGACACACATACGAGTAACTCGGAAGTAGACAGTGTACACTGTAGCACCTGGTCGAGAAAACTTCCGTGAAAAAGGTTCAACGTATCGTTGGGATGAGATTTTATATATTATCTCACAACAGGAATTTGGTAAACTGTATGACAAAGAATGAGATGTCAGTGTGAAATGAATTTTTCATCTTCATTTTTTTAAAAAAATGGCCTGGCAAATGTATTTATCGAGTAGAGCAAGGGCATATGATGTGCAACTGGATCCGTCGAGGCTAGAGGAAGGCATCTTTCTTTGTGGGAAAAAATCTTCAGCATGCCACTTGAATAAAAAGGACAGCATCCACAACCATTTCAGCACCACACGACAAGTTGAAACTGACGACTTCCCTTCAAAATGAAAACATTTGTACCAAGGTCATGAACAAATCCCCCCTTTATGCCCTGGAGTCAACACTTTACATATTACAGCTTTTCGTTGACATGGCCTGAAATAACACATGATGTGAACTGTAACCATTTTGTTAACATGGTGAAAGTCATAAATCTGTTCCAGATCTGTTAACAACATGAAAATCGACCGCTCTGAAAGCCTCACAGACAAAATGATAACATACAAAAGGAAAAATATTTCATAGCACAGGAACACAGACCGTAGTATATACCAGGTTACTATCGTCGCATAAGGTGAGGGGAAAAATCTGGGCATTAATGCTGAAATCATGACAACGATGCTTAATGATACCCTTTATGTGAAAACCGCTACCGGTCCAACTCTTCACAGTCTTCTCTGACAAATTCCACAACCATTCTTCTCTTTCATACATTACAAAAATCATAGCTTTACTCACTGCCACCTTTTTCTTGAAGAAATCTCTGAGCAAGTTCACCTGCTTAATATGTACATAAAACTTGCACTTTTTTGTCTCTAAAATTATTCTAAAGTTTGAAATGGAACATAAAACATTGCAATTCTTTTGAAAAAAAATGTTTCGGACTTTTAAAACTGACCATGACAAGCAGCAAACAGTGACCGAAAAAACAAAAATTGATTTCCAAATTCTAGAAGACACCAAAATTCCAAGTGGTCAGCTACCCTAAAATATCTTAACTTTAAGGTATGCTGTGCGAACTTACAATTGATGAAACTTCAGGGCCTTTTTCTCACTGCAACTCTTTCAAGGCACTATACATTCTACCTTCACTGATATGCCTTACTGGAATGACCTGAGAGTCTTTTGATTTGATGGCAGCCAATTGACTCTTCCTATATCATCCTCTCTTCACATCAGACACACTGAAACTCACAACAGTCACTCATTCCTCCCTATCACACCTCACAATCTCCTTCACCACACACACAGCAGAGTCTCTTCAGATCAAAACTTTAACTTATCATACAAATGTCCTGAAGGACCTCAAATACAAAATATCATGACGCGATAGTAGTTAAGTCTGGCCAAACCAAATGAAATGTGTTGATGCTGAAAAAATGCCATGTTTTTCACCACGTCTATCGTCGGAACAAAGAGAAGCTTTTCTTGCTGGGCAGCCGTCCATCCCGGCTTGCCAGGGCCGCTTCCATGTCCTCGAACGACGGCAGTTCCGATAACGACCCGTAGGCAGCCAGGGACAACTTGCTCTTCAACATACGAGTGGCCACTCTTTGGACGTCCCGTTCTGTTATGCTAGCTGCAAAGGCATAAAGCAAAGAAAACCAAAATATAAAAGCATTCTTTTAGAGACGGCAACAAAAACAATTTTTGACTTGCTCGAGACGATCATTAGACTGTAAAGATGAATGTCCAAGTATCTAAAGGCCGAGATATGATAACCATTTAGAATGGCCAGAATTTTTGTAGAACTGTGAGTACACATAGAAAAAAAGAAGTTGGTCTTTAGGTCATAGCTTTGACATCACTACAAACAGGGCAGGGTTAGCAACCATCCAGTTATTCCTTACAGTCTTGTTGGGCTAATTCAAAATTACATAGAGTGAGGGTGACAAAACAAATATTTTTACATTTAATCAGTGCATGCACCTCACTCGCACACCCATCACTTACTTTTAACCCTTAAAACCCTGAATTCGTTTTTTTCATATCTCCCTAGAATCCTGAATTAAAATTGAGATACTAGAAAAAATTAGGTTGGTTCATTGCTTTATTTACTTTGTTAATTGTTGTTAGATTTTGCAGAAGTTTGAAAATGTTATTTATATTTGAATGCACAGTCTGGACAAAAGGTGAAAACACTGGTTTTTAGGACCAACTCTATGAGTTAAGTCTTGTGTGTGATCCCCGACTCCACTTCAGTCAAGGCATCATTAGACCCAGCCGTAGATCTAGCCTCTGGTGGCTCTAGTGATCCCCTGCCACTTCCACTATCGTCAAAATCATCATCGATATTTTGCGGAACATTGCAATCGTCTTCAGCGGTCATATTTATTGATACATCCGACTGGGAGATCATTATTGGGGTCTGGTTCAGGATAGAAAATGTCAAAAACTTTGGGGCCTTTGGTAACAAAGGTGGTTAACCTCACTTGTAAAAATGTACTAATCTATAGCAACAGAGGAAAATGTGATGAGTCACTGACCTATCTGGTCATAGTAAAACTGGGGAGTACGTCGGCCGGAACCAGCCAGCACCTGTCTGCCAATGTCTTCAAACACGACTGGACGAACCTCCAAGTTCATCATCAGCATAGACTGCAGCTGTCGTTTGGCGCGGCTCAGCTCATCCTGTTTGATGAAGAAAACCAATTCCATAAATGACTTTCATATATATATATTTGAGGAGTTTCTTTTTTTTTTTTTTACCTTTTCATATAAAAATGAGGAATTAATCAATACTATTTAAATGTCCACATCTAAATACAAACATAATTTGTTTGAGTAAATTATAAAGAGATGCACATAAAAACGCAATGACCATCATTCAGTGCAAGGAAAAGGAATGATAGAAAGATCATAGGAAACGAAAAGAGGAACCCTCCAGCGACCCACAGTACAAAGATAGAAGCTCTGGTATTATTTTTTTTCTCCCAAGAAAATCATCTTAAATGTTTCTGCTCATCAAATACGATATATTTCATTTGTTTAAACTGAGAAGTATATAAACCTTATTTATATGAGGAACCACGTCTCCTGCACCGTATATTTCAGTAATCTAAGTAAGACACCAGTACAGTCAACATCCACTATCACTTAAATAATTTGGACAAGTGAGCCTCCTAGTAACATTGCAATTACAAACACAATTTTATAAGAATGAAAAATGATGGATCAATAACAATAAGAGTTGTTTGCCCCCCCCCCCTAAAAAAAACAACAAATTTTAAAATTCAAAACAAGTTGTGTGCACGCACGCGAGCGGGAATGCACACGTGCATGCTCACTCACACACACACACACACACACACACACACACACACACACACACGGACACGACATGAACCACCTCACTCACCTGATACACCATGCTGGAAGTGAACACAAGCTCCCTGAGAATGACCTCCACAAGATCTCGCAACTGGAGATGTTGAAAAAACCCCCCCCACAAAAGTTTTAGTTTTAGTAAAAGTTTTACAGCATTTGCAACACGATAAGGTAAAAAAAGTACCGAAGATTAGAGATGTTACATGAGAGTAACAAACACAAAAGGAGGAGGAGAGAGAGGGGCGATAGTATTTTATAAGAAAGAAGAAGCAAACCACACAAGAGCACCCGCCAACCACCCACAAAACACCAAAAAATCCAAATAAGTACCCACTGATATTTCTCGAGCACCGCATACAACTGAGTTCAAAAACACTATCTAGAACAGAAAATATCTCAGTATTTTCAACAGAAATATTAATTTAAACGAGAAAAACATTTATGAGCTTCAGCAGACTTCTCCTTTCAAAAGAATACAGAACATTTTACTATGCTTTTCACTTCGCAACACCAGTACATGATCTCTCTCAAAGAACAGGCGTTCCCCCCTGGGGCAGTGCCACTGACTGTAGTGTCTTTAGGCCATTTTCATAGGGGGGATATTTCTCGTTGAAGCATAGTAGAATTGTAAATGGGTTGATTCATGTCACGCTCATAACTGTGCCTGATCGACAACAGGGAACTGCTGCTTTTTCTTTCCTGATCCTTACTATTGTCATTTTCCTCTACTTCTTTTGTATGTTTGTCACTCTCTTGTGACCTGCTATGTTGGGGTGCCTTGATAGTCGAAGTGGACCTTGTGCTGCTGAAGCTAGAGAGGTGAGCAGTCTAAGTCTGATTCCTTGTAAAGACTTCTCTGTTGACAACCACCCCTTGGCGCTCATATGACCTTATGCAGTCGCGAGCGCCGTAAAACTCTCTACTATAAAAAAACCCAAAAAACAGTCTATGCTGAGCAGTGTTTAGTACAGAAAAGTCTTTTCATCAGTTCGAACTATAAACATGGGGGTATTTAATAATCTCTGTCGTTGTTATCAATCCAGGATAGTCTCTGTCTATAACCCATATGTAACAATCTACTGCATTTGGTAAACATACATCCCCATATTTTATCTTACGGCGCTAGTGGATACTTTCGTCTACACGCGGGTCGACCCGTCGCGTTCACAAAAATAAAAAGAACTGGACTTTCATAGACTGATAAAAGAGGACATCAGCTTGTGTGTTTGTATTTTTTTTCTTTTATTGGCTGGGGAAACCACTGCATACTAAGTCTGTACTCTTTCTGGAAAAACGATAGCTCTTCACAAAAAGTCCGTTTTAGTTTCCACATTAGCCCATGATTTAAAGATAATGTATAACTAGAAACCAGCTCATCTCAAACGCTGCAACTCCTCCAGTCAAAACAAACTGAACATTCAAAACAATTTTACTTTTTAAAAAAATTAAAGAATTAAAAAGTCTATGGGGGCAAAAACCAAAAAATCTGTCCATGAGGACATCAACTGACCTTTGATGGATGAGAACTTGCATGAATGCAGAACAAGCCACTGTCTTCATAAGCGTGGTTGTAGGCTGTGGCGCTCTCAATCCAAACATACCTGAAGGAAAACCCAATAATTATATAATTACCGTGGAGTCCGCTTAAACTGAATACAGTTTAATCAGAATTGGAACTTAAATTTATTAGTTCTAACACATTCATCATTCAAATTCTCATCATGGCGGCACTAAAATAGCACTCATGTTAGATGTGCTTGTTATTTTTCAAAGATTTTCACTCTAATTGTTGACAACAAACTGATTTCAGCGCTCAAAGGTCACACAGACCATTCAGAAAGAAAGTTATAACTTTAAAACAGGTGTGCATGTCAAAAAGGAGATCATTCCTACAATGTATTAGTAGCTATATTACACTGGCACCGAACGGCGTCCCGTGGGGAAAAGGGACTGCTACTCATCATCGTCCATCAGTGTCTCATGGGTGCAAAGTACTCAAAGTCTTTTTTTGAACTTTTCTTAAAGAAACCAAAATGACTTAGGCAATAATGTGTTATGAATTTTTTAGTTTTAGTAAGAGTTTTATGGCACTCGCAATACAATAAGGTCATTTAAGAGCCGAAGAATAGATGTGTTACGAGTGAGTAACAAACACAAATAAGGATGATAGATGTTTAATAGGAAAGAAAGAGTAAACCACACCAGATCAGCACCCGCAAAAGTGTAGCCACACATAAATAAAAGTGTAGTCTTTTTTAAGTAGTTTTAGTAGAGGTTTTACTGTGCTCACAACTGCATAAGGTCATATGAGCGCCAGAAGAATAGAGGTATTACAAGAGAGTAACAAACATAAAAAAGAAGAGGGGGAGATAAGGATGATAGATATATCTTTCATTGGAAAGAAGAAGCAAACCACACTAGAGCACCCGCCAACCACCCACAAAGTGTAGCCACACACAAACAAAAGTGCAGCCACACATGAGAAGAGCCAGACAGACGAACCTGTTGAGGACGTTGAGGTAGAGGCGGGTGTACATCCCTTTCCCTGGGCCGCCCGCTGAGAAGGATCCCCCACCCCCGAGCATCATGTTGAGCACGCAGTAGGCGATGAAGTCCGGGTCTTTGTGGCTGCAGCTCTCCAGGCCCAGCACGATGTGAGCCAGCTCTGGCATGGGGGTGGGGCCCAGGCTCACGTTGGACAGGTCCTTCTCCACCTGCGGGCCAGTTGAGTTTTTGTTTTAGTAAGTGTTTTACGGCACTTGCAACACAATAAGGTCATATAAGTGCTGAAGTTTTTAAAATTTAGTAGAGGTTTTACGACGCTTGCAACTGCATAAGGTCATATGAGCACCAAAAGATTAGAGGTGTTACAAAAAAGTAACAAACACCAAAAAGATGGAGGGGAGATACAGACGATAAATTTTTTTATAGGAAAGAAGGACCAAACGACACCAGAGAACCCGCCAACCACCCAAGTTGGGTTTGTTTTGTTTTTAATAAGAAGAGTTTTACGGCTCTTGCAACACATAGAAGTGCCAAAGAATAGAGGTGTTACCTACAAAGGAAAAAAAATGATTGAGTAAAAATTAAAATGGCATATATATCTATTTTTCTAGAAATTCAGAGCTACTTGTGAAGGTGAAGTGACAGCAATTGTACTTCTTTGACGAAAGAGTTAAATGTCACACTGGATAGGATATTAACAGGTAACTTTGAGGGCTGAGCACTTGGCATAGAAGAAAGAGTGGGGAAGTGGAATCAACCGTATTTCATCAAAAATAAATAATAATAATAAATTGCATTCATATAGCGCATTTCCATAAAGAAGTGCTCAATGCGCTGTACAATAATACAAAGAACATATGCAGCGCACGGCTCCTATTGTAATCCTCTTTCTCTCTCTCACACACTCTGTCTCTCTCTTCCTCACTCTCTCTCTATCTCTCTCCCTTTCCAGTACATCCTTGAGTAATCACAATCCCACAAAGCTTACCCACACACCCTCATACACATTGATGACATCACAGTCATATATTGTTACAGAACAGAACAGCATGAATCACCTGTCTTTGCCCACTGAGAACCCAACCCACATCCTTTGCTTGTTAAACGAGGAGCTTAACCACTACACCGCAGACAGGCGTCACTCACTGGCACATAGCCACTTCACAAAATGTCCCCCCTCTCGCCAACCCTCTCACCCTTTTCCCAAATGGGAATCAAACCCGCATCCTTTACATGTAAGATGGGAAGCTCTACGCAGCAGACAGCAGCCCCTCACCTGCAGAGAGCCACTTCATAAAATGTCAACAATCCCCCCTCTCCCCCCCCCCAAGGAGCTCAGCCACTACACCACAGACAGCAGTCCCTCACCTGCAGAGATCCGCCCGTGTACTGAGACACACAGGTGCTCCCCAGCTCCGTCTGCCCCCACACCTGGCCCTCGGGCACCCACAGCGGCTTCTTCTCCTCCACAAAATACTTCTGAGCACACTCCACAAATGCCTCGTGATCCACACCGACCCCCGCAACCACCATTTTCGACGGGTGGTGCCTCTCTTTCATGAAGGCGTACAGAGCTTTCTGTGTGATCAGGTCAATGTTCACTTCGGGGCAAATACGGGGAAGGCCTAAAGTGTTGCCCTTGTAGGCTGCCTGTGATGGATGAAAATCGTCAGTCATTTAGGAGAATTCTCAACCGAAGATGAAATGAACTTTGAAATTTGTGGTCACCAAAGCATCCTTCAGAAGACATGCATCTTAAAAAACCTTTTTTATGATATGTTTTAGACCAGGTCTCTAGCATCTAATGTTGTATATAACTCTGACATATCATCCTATTCTGAGGCAACGATATGGTGATACATATGCAAGATATCTAAAACTCTACGACACTTAGAACTAACTCATCTTAGAAGCTACCTGTGCAATTTACACCTACTGGAAGATTTTCAAAGCAAAATAACCATCTCTATTGGACAGTTGAAAACCAACTTAAGGATCAACAACTACCAAGCTCAGAGCACAAAGATAAACAATGATCTTCTTCTATGCTGTGACTAATGGGTAAAATATGGTGGCGTCGGTGGCCTAGTGGTTAGGCTCTCGGACTCGCAACTGCAAGGTCGTGGGTTCGAATCCCGTCAGGGGCCCGACGTTGTGTCCTCGGGAAAGGCACTTTACACGTATTTTACTCACTTCACCCAGATGGGAATGGGTACCCGGCTATAGACAGCGAAAGATCTTGTCAGTTTGTTAGTGTTTGAGCCCTTAATCAGCTGCTTGCAGTGTATGCTTCCCTGGAAGCTGAGAATGTTTCGGAGTGTTCTATGGTCTGCTGGAGTAATAATATAGTGTAAAGCGCATAGAGCCTGCTGTTGAGCGGGGATATGCGCTATACAAAAGCTATTTATTATTATTATTTTTATTATTATATAGCATATCTATACACATTAAAATAACACCATCTACATTTTGTTTCAAAGTTCCCCCTGATGTTCATTTAGTAGACATGTGTAACAAGCTGATAATGACAGAGAAATTGTATTCAGAATCTTGACATTAAAAAAAAGAAGAAGACCTATTTTTTCCAAACCTTAATCATTACGGATGAGATTTCCTAAAATAACGAAGAGTTAGTGAGATTTCCAGGACTAGCAGAATTTCTTATCTTCCCATAATATGCATCACATAAATGTATCAGTCTACAAACTTCATTAATAACACAACTTTCATACTCATAATGTCTAAGCATTTTGAATAAATCAAAAAGTACTGTGACATAAACTAAGGCCAAACAGCACAGAATGTAATAGACTACCCAAATGACCCAAAATAAATGTGTTACAACGGGCTGGAATCAGGTGGTCTTCGATATTTGATTCCTTGGATTTCATTTTTTTGACTAGCGCCTGATTTCACCACGATGCCTCACATATCTCAAGTCACAGTGATGACTAACAGTCATGTGATCAAAGCAGAAACGACATCACAAAACACCCCTGGCCCTCCCCCAACATCCTCATTTGCAATCTTGGACACTCAAGGTCACTCACTGTGACGTAGCTTGTACACCACTGTTAAGTCATCATATGTGTCGCAGCGTGGTGTAATCAGGCGCTCGACAATTTTCGGGCACGTGGAGATATTGGTATCATCTTAAAACTTGTTCAGTTGTCTTGCTATAATATGTGAAAAAAATGCCTATCTATCTTGAATAGAGGTCAAAATATTTGAGATAGAAGAAGGTGAGGTAGCCTGATTTCAAAGGTAGAATTAGCGAGGAAATGGCTGCCAAAGTTTGGTTATTTCCATAACTTAGGAGTCCGTGGAATTGGAAAACTTACATTTTTGTGCCTTTAATAAACCTTTTCAGTAAAAATCCACCCAGAAATGTGTTCATAGCTGGACAACAGTGGTGTTACACCAAAAAACAAAAATTCGATAAAAATTGCCAATACCAGTTTCTCCAATTTCATTATTCTGACGAGCGCCTGATTCCACCACATCGCGACACATTATTATACTTGTCAGACACGTAAGAAAGGAAGACTAAAGATGACATGGCGGCGAGCGGTACAAGCGGAAATGGAAAAAGCAGGAACATCATGGAAACAGCTAGAAAAGTATCACAGGACAGGCTTCGCCGGAGAAATGTAGTAGATGGTCTATGCTCCACTGGGAGCTAAAAGGGCAAGAGAGAGAGAGAGAGACAGCACTTACAGCATGGACCATTTCCATTAGGAGCTGCTCTGGGTTTGGGTCCATGTTCATTGCCTCAATCTCAAACCTTATGGCTTGGCGGGCGTCTTCCAGCTGAGGAAGATGAAGCGTGTTAAGGTCATCAAGGTGTTAGGAAAATAAGTGAGGTGTGCACCAAACTTTATTGGGGTTTTTCTTCGGGTTTTTTTTTATCCAACCTTTACAATATTATCTATTTTCCTGTAAGTCCTCCTCCCATATCACCCACCGTCTTTAGTCTATTCACATGTAAATAGCACTCCACTCACATTGCAATTTTGGAGAAAAAAATATATAATATCTACAATATATAGAAACATTCGGGAACTAATTCACCTGGAGAGAAAGCAACACTGTGGTTTTAAAGAAAAAATCTTTGTCTCCAAATTTGTTTTCAGAAACACAGCCAAGTGCATTACATCTATTTTACAAAGAAACGACTCAATAACAAAATAAAGATTAAAAGAAAAAAACACAATCCGTTAGAATCAAAAGATGTATAAAAAATAGAAAGAGCCTTCAATTAAGGTAAACATAATAAGTATTCTTATAATAGTATGAAAAACAAACCAATTGACTGGTCATTTCTAGACAGAAAACTCCCTTCTTGACATGCAAAGAGTAGCGCAAATTCTTTTAGTTTTAGTAAGAGTTTTACGGCACTTGCAACACAGTAAGGTCATATAAGTGCCGAAGACTAGAGGTGTTACAAGAGAGTAGCAAAATTAAAAAAGGAGAGATCAGGACGATAGATGTTCGATAGGAAAGAAGGAGCAAACCACACCAGAGCACCCACCAACCACAGCTACGACCACAAGTCTGACCTGGTGTTCTGGGAACTCTGGTCGGAGCACCACATCGGAGAGGACGTTCATCACTCTCTGCAGACCGTCAGTCCGGGTAGAGGCGGCGTAGACCAAGGTGTCCCTGTGGGGGGGGAGTAAAGAGAGGACGAGAGCAAAATAACCATCAATTCAATTAGTTTAAACAATGACATTAGAGCGCATATTGGAGACTTTTCAAAGTTTTACTAAGGTTTTATGGCGCTCGAAACTACATAATGATATTAGAGACTTGAACCAGGGAGACTCAAATTAAGCTCCACAATTAAAACTTGAGGAGCTTAAGTTACAAAGCCAGTCACACTGATCAAATTAAAAATTTTAGTACACGAAAGTAAAAAAAAATACACTTGGCATGGAAAGCGTAAAACGTACACATAAACTGATCACTGGACAAAAGAGAAGGCGCTGTTCAGAATGGCAATTAAAATGACAAAGTATTGTTGGGAGACAAATAATACACTCTTCTTTTTACCTTGACCCTTGGCAATCACAGATGCCTCCAACCTTCTCGAGTTCTTGTAAGATCTTGTCTCTGTCTTCCCAATTTGTGGTTTTCTAAAATTAAAAAAAAAGACCAGTAGACCAGCGAATCAAAGAAATGTAAATAAAAACAAGTCTTGCACTAAAACCATTCAGTCTTTTAAGACAGACACTATTATTTGCCAATACACCTCAACCCGAAGACTTAACATCTCATCTCAGATATTTCTTTTTTTTGTTTTTTTGTAAGAGTTTTACGGCACTTGCAACACAATAAGGTCATATAAGTGCCAAAGATTAGATGTGTTACAAGAGAGTAACAAACACAAAAAAGAAGGAGGAGAGATCAGGACAATAGATGTTTGATAGGAAAGACGGAGCAAACCACACCAGAGCACCCGCCAACCACCCACTCAGATATTTCTGTTGTGGAGATAGAAAAGTATACTAACAAGGAGACCACAAGGAGAATGTGCTGGAAAAGACAGCTGAAAACGACTACAAACAGTAAGCTGGTGCTAAAAGTTAATTCATCATTTCGCTGCAATTACTAAAACATGCCCTGTACCTCAAGAAAATAGAACCCTTTACCCTGAGAGCGCTAACACAATCGGGTGTGAGCTGCCCAGAAATGGCCAGTCAAAGTCACGGGTGGGAGAACAGAATAGGTCAAACTTCTACTTTTGTTGAATCCTCCTTTGTGCACAAAGGCTATTCACCCCAGTGACCCAGATAACGTTCAGACAAGCACCTTAAACAACAAAGCTGATATTCCCAAAACAAAAGAAAGAAACTTCTCAAATACAGTCAAACCTGCTACTAACGGCCACCTGTATAAGACAAGTCACCTGTACAAATGGCCACTTCCAATTTCCTCCCTTGCACTTAAAAAAAAAAACATGACCTGTGTAGGACGTCTGCCTAAGATAGCCACTTTTCTCTTCGACAATAAGTGGCTGTCATAGACAATTTCGACTGTATATGATCAATAATCACTATTCAAACTGACTTGGACAACTAGTATGATTTTTTTACAAATCCCATTCAAAAATCATCCCAAAGAAGTAGATCTACGGTCAACAATGTTTAACTCTAAAGGTCTTGTGATAAATTCCTGCATGTGGTTGAATAATGCATCTAATATTACATGTTTATCACTATCAGCTTTACTTTTCTTTTCATATTTGATTTTAAGGAGAGTTATTATACAAAATTCAACTTCTATGTATATCTGCATGTGTTTTTACTGTCCATTTCAGCCAAGAAAAATTTTCCTCTAGGAGAATAAAGTATTATCTTATCTTCTTCATTACATACTAAAGTAATCTATACCAGCTCAATTTGCAGGATAATGCACATCAAAAACATAAACATCTCACCCCAAACGACATTTTCTCCAAGAAATGAGTAATTCCGCTGGGATATGCAGATTCATACCTCGACCCTGAGTCAACAAGAACTGCAAACAAAAAAGACACAAACAGAACAACATTGGCTTGAGAACACGACTATATCTTTTATAATAGTGTTGGCAGTTTGTATGTAACTGTGAAATAAGAGCACACAAGTAAAAAATTTCTTGACATGTATACTCATGATTATAAAATTACACACCTATTTATATTGTCCCCTATGCCTTGTGACAACAGAAACTAGTTAGTTTTGTTACATGAGAAACAAACATAAAAAAAAAAAGTTTCAGATAATACCTTCAGTTAGTTAAAACAGATCTTGACATCTCAAAAACCCGATTGAAACAAGACATCAAAGCTCTCTGTTTAACCTTCTCAAGTCTTTGCATGCGCATCTATAACTTGGGTATCTAACTGAATCTGAAAGCTCATCACTGCAAACTAAGGTTCCAACATGCTTTCTTTGATGTCAATCAAAATTGGGTAAAAAATAATACGGGATTAACAGCACACATCTCAGATATAAAAAAGACCTATTTTCATCATCACTCATCACTTTCATGCATCACTATGAAACAAGGCCCAACAGAAAAGTACGTTGTTTTTTTGTTTTAGTATTTATTTTACAGCACTAGCAACACAATTAGGTCATATAAGTGCCAAAGATAAGATGTACTACAAGAGAGTAACAAACATATGACAGATGTTTAATATGAAAAACGGGGCATTGCATCAAATTCTTTTTGTTAACCCCCTTTCCCAATCAGATAGAAAAATCCATGATAGGCCCTACTTGAAAATATTTAGACATAGAGAGACACAATTCTTCAAAGATAACAGCAGGCCTATATCAGAATAAGAAATTGAAAGATGCAAAAGTACATTACCACCAACAGTGCAAAACTGTCCAAATTTATTCTCAGAAGCAATGCGAAGTCCATTGTCGAGAGTTGTCACATGTGTGTCATACACATGACTTGTCACTGAGGCATACTTTGGAAGCGGCAGGCCTGGAATTTTCTCCGAAAGAGAAACATTTGTGATGCTTGGTTCTAAACTCCCAGGATTTGTACTGCTTAAACTGCGTCTGCAATGAAAAACAAGTGTAAGTGTTCCACAGGGCTCGCAACTCCATAACTCAAATGAACGCGCGGTGTTGCAGCCAGTTTCATTGACAGTAAATTGAGTTGCTATTTTGGTTCATTTATCCCTTTAAAAAAAAATTTAATATTGCCAAACATTTTGACTCCTTCACAAACCAAATGAGTTCTACTTCTTATCTACATTCTACTTTCTGAAGATGTACATAGAGGTCTAAGGCCTCCACTTGCTGGGTTTGCCTGTTCTCAAGCATTTTCCAACATAACAGAAATAGTGTGAAACCATATGATAACACACTGGCTATTTGTCATTGAAACTTGGAGGGTTAACTCACTCCCAACTATTCTCGCCACTGTAGCGATCTATTATAATTCATGCTTCCCGGCTGTTCTCGCCACCGTGGCGATCCCAACTTCAAATTTTTTTCTCCTCCTGAGGGATCGCCACTGTGGTGAGCACGGTCCAGTCATTTCCATTTAATTTGATCCAAATTTCATTTCGCTCGGCCCGAGGGTAGAAATTTTTTGAATTTATCAGCTGACCTACCCTCGACTGTCCAAAACGGCGAGCTAGTCGTTCCAGGCCGAAGCGTAGTGCAGCCAAAACAAGAGCAAATATCTTTGAACAGTTCGAAAATTGTGCTGTTTTGGGAAATCTATTATCTATCCTCATGGGTAATATAATGTTTTCTAATTCAACTAGATTCTCCAGCAGATATATTCTACCATATATAAGAAAATGTGTCAAATTGATGAAAAAAAAGTACACAAGATAAACACATTCTGCTTGTTTTGAAACACATTTCATTGTATACTTTCAACACAGCAAACAACAAGTGTGTATCTTGAATACATTTGTCACACTGATTTTTTAAAACACCCCCGAAATTGTGGTGGTTGGGGCCAATCCGCCCAAAAAAGTGCAGTTGTGAGTGAGTCAAATGAATCTGACCTCCAACACCTGATAGAACAAAATTGTGAAAGGGGGTGGGGGGGGAGAGAAGGCTAAATTCGCAAAAATTTAAGGTTTGTTGATAGTTTTTAGTGCCAAAATTGTTCTCAACACATTAATAGACATTAAAATAGAGGGAAGTGCCGATTTGCAATGCCGCGTTGCGATTAGCGCCAGTGCTGAATATGATGCTGCGTTGCGACTAGCGCCAGTGCTAAATAAAACGCCCTGTGTTATATCAAGCTTAATCTACCTTCCGTTGTTGGAAGTTCTGATGGCCGAACGGACAGCGCGTCTGCGTTTGAAGCCAAACCATTATTTTATGAGCGTGGGTTCGATCCTGTTCCATCAAGAAATACAGCTTTTATATAGATCTAGTTGCACCGTCTTGTTATTGTTATCCAAGCGTATTTCGACTTACTAGCTCAAACTCAAATGATTATGAGAGAGGAACAAGACTACGTATGCAAACAATGTCAGAAACAATTGTTAGATCTAATATAGATCTAGATCTACCCAACATAGATCGGAAAGACAACGTCATAAAAGAGTCAAATCCTAGGAGGTTTTCAAAAAACTGAAAAGGCTTCCAAAATTCAGGCAGAACTAGAATATTATTATAAGGATGGCTACTAAACCTAGATTCTAGTACTGGCGTTTCAAATAGCACGGGAGCTATTCAGAACGCGGCGTTTCAAATAGCACGGGAGCTATTCAGAACGCGGCGTTTCAAATAGCACGGGAGCTATTCAGAACGCGGCGTTGCAAATAGCGCCTGCCTTAAAATAGTGCTCAAAAATAGTCTTAAACGTGTCTTTTCACCCTGGCAACTCAGTCAGCTTTTTTACTTGACATCCGGGACCGGGACAGCAGCACTGCAGTATTACTGTAAAGTAACGTACAGGCTACAAAACCCCGGCAAGTAGGCTATAACATGTGGTTGTTGTACATTGAGTTTGAGTCTAATAATAAAGGGAGTGTATATATACAGACACGGTAACCGGGAACAAAGTCACAAAGTATACAAACCTGGTAGGGGAACTCTTTTGTGATTTCAGAAAGTTTCAGCACCCTCTTGGCTCAGGGTAGACCTAGATTCTAGGTTCTTCTAGATCTATAGCCTAGGTCTAGATCTAGACAGACAGTGAGACAGACATAAAAGTCATTGTCTAGTTTCGAGGTTAGCCTAGATCTAGATCTAAATGAAGATTGTGGATGTCTTTTCGATGAACGATCGTTTTTCCTCCATTTTTGGAGTTGGAGGAATCACAATTTGAAGAAAAGAACAATGTCATTATGATTTCAATCCAGCAGTCACCCTCTCTCTACTCTGTCTCTGTGTATCGCTTGCATTCTCTTTTTTTTTTTTTTGTCTCTGTCTTTCTTTCTCCCCACCTATTTCCCACTCTATCTTTCTCTTGTTCCCTCCTGTCAACTGGGGCATGTAATACATTTTGCTAGCGGAAGTGGCTATCCTCACCCAGGGTGAGAATAAAACTACGATCTACCTCTCACCCCGGGTGAGACTTGCCAGCGTTGGTTGTTCTCACTCGGTGTGAAACAAGACCAGTTTTTCCTCATTTCGGAATACTGTCTATCGGTGTGGATGTTCAAAGTGATAAAAAAGCCAAGAAAAAATTACATTATAGTAAGCTAATTTGATAGTCTACAAAGGTGCTATGTCACTTTTCGAATCGAGCCGAACTACGTGGGTCGCCATTTTGTTTTGCCCAAAAGTTCTCGCGCTACTCCTCTATCCCTCTTTCTCTCTCTCTTCTCTCCACTACCCACAGACAAAATTGCACGCTTTCAGGTTCTATATTTAATGGAACGTTTGTTCACGGCACAGAATTCTGCAATTCTGTTCAGTGTAGAATTCTGTGGTTCAGGGTGAATGCTACACTGGTTGGCCTAACGGTGAACGCACACCGGGTGAGAATAGCCAAAAGACTCGCCTGCGCTATTCTCACCCGGGGTGAGAATAGAGGTGGCCTTTGCTAGCACTTCCCTCTGTTCTCTCTTTTCTTCTCTCTCTCTCTCACGCACGCACACACACTACAGGGTCTGGGCGCTGAAACTTTCCGACATCACAAAAGAGTTGCCCTATCGGGTCTGTATACTTCGTGACTTTGTTCTTGGTTACCGGGTCTGCATACACTTTGAATAATAAATTATAATTTAGATAATAAAGGCACCTAAACTAGAGTGCACTTTGGTACAACTTAAGAATCTGGGTCCCGTCTGTTTAAACTAGGCATCATCCACACAGAGTACTGGATATCGATACTGACAAAAATATTCGGTATCGATGTTCTATCATCAGTCTGGTAGATCTAGATCCAGCCTACAAAATGAGCATTAAAAATTCACTAGTTATTAACAAGGGAAGGGGGGTTTCAGGGGGGGCAAATAAAAACATGGAGACGGGGGGGGGGGGTCAGGGGGGCAT